AGTGACAGCAGCAGCAGCAGTGGTGTCAGAGGCAGCAGCAGAGACAGTAGTAGCCCAGGCAGTAGTGACAGTAGCATTGGTGTCAAGGGTGACAGTAGAAGCTGCCGTTAGATCAAAACCGAGTCTTGGGACAGTTTGGTGGCATTCTGCCTCCCTAAGCAAAAGGCACCTTTGAGCTCCTTTATAAAAGTGTTAGCAGTATATTCTCTTGTTTAGTGGTTTTTGTGCTCTCTTTGTAGACTTTAAGTTGTGAAGCAACTGTTCACAGATTGCACTTGCTTTTAACTTCATTTTGAGCTCCTAGTCATGGATAGTATAGGTCTTCTATACATAAAGATTCATTCCAGTGCTGGGAATGGTAGCCTAGTGATAAGGCACTTGCCTAGCATGGATAAGCTCCTGGGTTCCACCCTCAGCCCCATAAAGTCACCCATGTTAAGCTGATTTAGATATTAGGTACATGAAGTAACATTCTGTGCATTTCTTTTCAGGAGTAGGTTTGCCTCTTAGATGACTAAGCAGTTTCACAAGTAAACCTTCCTGCAAGTCTAACAGGCTCGACTCAGAGGAAGTGGAGTTTCTCCTGTTGCACAGCGATGATGTCTGCTTCCAGAGAAATGGATCCGGTTTGTATTTGAAAATGAGCGTCTCTGTTCTTTTCCTTGTGCTATAATTTTTGCTAAACTGAGTCAAATTAAATAAAGTGAAATGCATAGATAATAATTGCAGTTTTGTCAATGCTGTATCAAATTTCCATGAGCATTGTGTATAAATTTAAGAGTATACACTTAATGTTCTTTGGGTACGTGAAATTGAATTGCAAACAAGTAGAGCCAATATAGCACTCAACTTTATGAGGATCTGGCAAACAGCTTTTCAAATTGGTTTGCCTTTTAAAAATTTCTGTTGTATTATGCTGAGTTTCTTAATCTTTGAAGTTGAACACAAATGTAAATTATTAAACTATATTTAATTTTGCATAGCAGTAAGCACACTTATTTACTCACATAAGAACATGTATATTAATGCCATTAAGTAATCCAGGTAACTTTCAACTTCTATCAACTGCTGTTTTTCATCATTGGAGTCAATGCTCACTGTCAATTATTAAGAGCCATTTTGGGGAATATGTACTTGAAAACACAAGCTACTGTGTGAAGGTAAACTACTATATTTTTGTAAGGATCGTTATATAACACAGTATGCTATTTTAGTGGAAGGTAATCACATACAGAGCTATCAAGTCTGTTTACTTTAAAATCTCTTTGCCTCATTTCTTAGAATGATTATCTTGCAGATATATAGCAGTTATTTATGGTGACTTTAATTACTTATACCCTATCTAATTTCAGCAGCATTTTAAAGTGATTTAGAAATTAATTTATTAAGTGTATGACGTGCTTGTGTTTCCTAATTTGACCACATGGTGGCAGTGTTTGCTCAGGAATCAAAATTGGTGCAATGCTCTGGTCATGGTCAGTTTTGTTAGGGTTTGTTTGGGGGCTTTTCTTTTCTGAGTTATTTATTTATTTATTTATTTATTTATTTATTTATTTGTTTGTTTGTTTTGTTTGTTTGTTTGTTTTGTTTGTTTTTTTGGCTTTGAAAGCAGTTTCAACACTGAAGTCTAATCTCTATGCCATGAAGAACAGGAGGTGTGAAACTCGATGGAAAAGGGGGCTCTGGTGTAGCTTGGACTAATGAGAACATAGTTCTCCAAGTATACTTTTTCTCTTGTTTCCTGAAAGAAAGTCCTTGACATATCCAGGCTGTCCTTGAACTCATCATCCACTTGCCTTAGCGTCCTGAGTTTTAGTATTGTAATGTGTTACCTTCCCTGGCTCACATCTACCTTTCTACACAGACATGATATTTAAAATAGGCAAAGATCCTTTGATAATACAACAGATTTTCAAAACTTCCAAGAAGTGAAATTAAAGTTCTCAGCTTTTCTTTTTGTTATTTTATATTTCTTTTTAATTTGCTAAGAAATCTTTCTCCTATACAAATATGAATATCTCCTTGGGATAGTAATGTTTTAGGAGTATGTACCAAATATTGTACATTTCAGTTATGTAAATATTAAGCAACTAGTTGTCCAGTATATCAATGCTTACTATTTTAATGAGAAAGGCTTAAACTCCAACTACATTATGAAGTTCCTCTAAACTGACACTCAAGGACATACTCTAACCTGAATCTCTTTAGACAGTGAAATCTTAGCCATTTTACATGTTCCTTTTTCTTATGTGTTAGGACATTCTGAGCAACTTTTTCCTGGAATTCTAAATCTGGACTCTTATGCTGAAGTCTTCTTTCCTTTATCCTTTACTTAACTGGCAATTATTTCCATTCCTTGTAATGTGAATTTTTATTTCATCTCTTCTTTAATTAAGACTTTTGAAATATTGGTGAAAATTAAAAACAACTTAATAGATAAGTAAGGTGTAGTCACTATTTGATGTGACTCTTACTGAAATAAAGTATTAACTACTTGTGTAAAAACCATTCTAGAGACAACCTCATCCACGTGAAATTGAAGAACCAAAAGCCTTTTTGGATATCCTGAACCACTGTCAGGTATGACACTTCTCTTTTCAGTGTGTTTTTCTAGAATGTTAAATTGTGAACATTTCTTACTTGATATGAGGGGGAAGTATATAATTAATTGAAATTTTGCCATATCAAATTTCTTGTGATTATTCACCCCATTATGATTATTTTGACTTAGAATAATATTTTCAGGTGAAAATTTGAAATATCATTATGTGTATTTTAGAACATTAAAACATTATTAAGTTTATTCATGTCTTTTCCATCTATGTTGCCCAATATTAATTTCCACTATAAAACTTCTAAAGGAAGATTTGGGTGCACTTTTAATATGTGCCTAATTAATTATATATTAAGATACCACAACTGAAATGAAAGAACAGCCTACTCGTGTTTTACAAGGAATTTATCTTACATAATTATAAAAAATAGGTTTGGGGTTAGTTAAGGACTGATAGAAGTATCTAATTAATATGGATTTTGTGACCTGTATACCTCAAAGGCAATGGCAGTTCAGATAAATTGTTCTTATCTCATGAGGTTTGTAGAATAGACTGAACTAACGTAGTTTGAAAAGTAAAACTTTGTGTGTGTATTATCTTTCAGACTGACACTAGTGAGGACAGAAGCCATGATGACAGGTCTTGGTGTTAAGATTGTACAGGAGTAGCAGAGGCTGGATAAGGCTGCTTGACCTGCAGTGCCCAAATCTTGGTAACACTGAAGGTGTAGTGTTCAGCCAGGGGACCAGTAATTATGCAAGTTGAACATTGTGGATAAACAATGCTTAGGTTCCCAAGCTGTGCCCCTAAGGAGCCCTTGAGAATCCTGTCACTTCACTGAGTGTACTGACATTCATGTTCTCTTTATCTGTGTAAGAGATAATAGTAACAACATGTAATTTCAGTACTTTCAAGGCAGAGGCAGGAGGATTGCCACAAGTTCAAGGTCAGCCCAATCTTTATAGTTAGTTTAAGGCCAGCCAGGGCTACATAATGAGACCCTGTGCCAAAAATAAAAACACAGAAACAAAGGAGTCTCTTACTACTTGGTGAGAGTGTATTTTTTACTCTCTTTTTGCGATTATAATTAGACTGTTTCCCCCTTCTCCTTCTTTCCTCTAAACCTTCCCATATACCTCTTCTCGATCTCTTTGAAATTCATGACCCTTTTTCATCAATTGCTATTGAATTCAAACATACATACATGCATACATTCCTAAACACACCCTGTTCGGCCTGAATAGTGTTACTGTGTGCATGCTTTCAGTGCTGACAATTTGGCACTGGACAACCAATTGATTTGCTCTTCCCTGGGGAAGACTATTGCTCTCACTCTCAGTATTTCTTAGTTGCCTGTAGTTCTTTGTGCAGAGGTGAGCCCTTGTGGGCGTTCCCTCATCCACTTTGGCATGCTTATTGGTATCCTCCTTGTTCAGCTGATGTTTAGGAAATCATGTTGGTGAGACTTTATGGTTATAGCTTCTGGTAATACTAGGAGCCATAGTATCACAGCAAACTCCTGATCCTCTGCTCTTACAAACTTTCTGCCTCATTTTCCACAATGTTCCCTGAACCTTAAGTACAGGAGTTGTTTTCAGGAGTTGTTTCAGGAGATGTATTCATTGTAACTAGACTCCCTAGAGCACATTTTGAGAATTACTGTCCCAGGCTGCTTATCACTTATTCTCCTGAAATGGTCACTTTGCTTGCAGCTCTCTCAAGATGAGAATTTCTCCAGGACAGGGGTTTCCTTTTGTTGATTTTGTTGTTGTTTGTTCGTTTTTTTGCTTTTCATGGTTTTTTAAAGTTCATGGTCCCAATGCCCAGCAAAAGCAGTTCAGACAGGAGGAAGGCATTCATCCTTGAATGAAGAAATGTTTATGTATTTTATAAATATGTTCTCTGAAATGTCTGAGCATTTCAAGAAAACCCTTCAGTATGTTATCAGTGGTGTTCCTCATTGGTATGGCATGTGAAACTTATTCAATGACGTTGTGAGACCATCACTGGATGCTTAATTTTTAGAATAGTTTGGAGCCCTAAATTACAAACACATATGTTTTATTTGGCTCTATATTCTTCTCAGTGGAACACTCACTATTTGTTCACAGGCTTTGGTGTGGAAGCTGACTCTTACTGGTAGCCGATTTGAATGCTTATCTCCTAATTTAGCACCCTCTTCTATGGGAAATGGCTTCGGCACACACAGGTAGGAGGTTGTCAAGGACTGTGATGCACTCACCTTCTGGCACTGAAGATACTTCGACAGGCACGTGAATCAACTACTGAAATGGCAGGTGGAGACTCAGCATCTCAGCCAGTGTCCTGTGTCCCTTAAAATCAGCCCTCTAATAGAAAATGTGATGTCTCTGACCACTGGAGAACTTCCATTGGGCCTAACAATTAACTCTTGGCTCTGTGCAGTTTCACATGTGCTACTTTTCTTTTGAAACAGCAACTACAAATACCTTTTTTATTATAACAGGTTATATGTAAAACTGTTCAAAGCCTGGAAAAGAAGTTTGATGACATGAATGAAAAAGTAACGAAACTTTATCAAGCTCGTGCCAGATCCTTCTGGCGTTACCCTGTAAGTGTACAAAAACATTATCACAACTTTAATAAATATATTTTGTCTAAAGATGTCAATCAGCTCAAAATGATAGAGATCTAGTAAATGTGGGATTATCAAGGCTTATCTGTACTTCCTGGAGGATCAAATGGGGACTACAACTCTTTTTGAAAGAATAATCAAGTTCAGATGAGATAGGGCACGTTCAGGGTGGTATGGGCTGTAGACCATATTAACCTGCACACCCTAGGGGGGCCCTCACCCTCCCTGGGGAGCAGAAAGGGTATGGGATAGGTAGGGTGTTAGTTGGGGGGGGGCAGGGGAGGAGGGGAGGGAGAGGGAACTGGGATTAATATTTAAAATAATCTTTCTTTTTTTTTTGTTTTTTTTTTTTTGAAACAGGGTTTCTCTGTGTAGCTTTGGAGCCTATCCTGGCACTCGCTCTGGAGACCAGGCTGGCCTCGAACTCACAGAGATCCACCTGCCTCTGCCTCCCGAGTGCTGGGATTAAAGGCGTGGGCCACCAATGCCCGGCGTAAAATAATCTTTCTAATTCAAATAAAAAAATTAAAAAAAAGAATAATCAAGTTCAGGATTAATGAATGTAGAACAATGAGTATTTGTAATTTATGTTTTAAAATACACAACTAAAATGTACCAATAAAATATATATCAAATTAAATGTAGACAAGAAGAGGAAGAAAAATCATGTGATCAAAAGAGAACACCATTTTCCTAATGTAAAATAATGTTGCATAGAAACCTCAATTTCCTGATTACTCTTTTTGTTGTGAAGCCTTTTAGATCAGCAACCAGAAAATACAATTACCTGACATCTAAGAGACGTAAAATACAGAGACTGAGACGATTCATTCATGATAATTCCATCTCCTATCCTCAAAGTTACAGTCCAACTTCACCAGTCCGCCCAAGGAGTGAAGGTAGCCAGGATATGGAGAACGACCAGACTATAGATTACACGCAGACTTCCCAGTATGCTGATTGTATTGACAACCGCGAGACTTTCCAGTATGCTGATTGTATTGACAACCGCGAGACTTTCCAGTATTCTGATACTATTGACAACAGCCAGACTTTCCAGTATGCCGATACTATTGACAACAGCCAGACTGACCAGTATGCTGATACTATTGACAACACCCTGACTTACCAGTACCTTGATTCTGTCAACAACAACGAGAATATCCAGAACACTGAGAACAATACTGGTTCCCAGGAAGCAGTATTTACTAATTCTTCACCAGAGAGGGACTATCAAGAAACTCCACCTAGTCCTATATATACTGCCCAAACCTACCAACAATATTACAGATTTAAAAACATTCCTGGGTCTTCTACAATGACCTACTACCCTAACTTTGAAAGTACCAACTCGGACACCATCACTACTGACAGTTCGACAGTGAAAGAATCAAGTCCCCTTCCTCCAGGGGAGCTCATCCCCATCCAGAATCCTGAAATGAGGCGATTGGCCTTACTGGAGGCTCAGCGTGTACCTGTGATTGATCCTAACACTTTTGGTGAGTTTGGAATGGCACCAATGATTATCATCTTCAAAGTAAGCTAGTAGAAGTTTCTTTTTTCCTATTTTGGTGATTGATTTTAGTTATATGTACAATGAAAGCTGTTTATTAAGTAGGTATTATGAGTAAGGCAGTGTGCTAATAAATGAATATGGATTATCTTTGGTGATCTTCATAATGACACCCTTGTGATATTGAAATCTTTATCTTTCTTTCCCCATTGTAAATACGCAACATAAGCATAAGGTGGTAAGAAAGAAAGGATGTCCTTTTGGATAATTCACAAATAGAAAAAAAATGAAATTTCTGTTGATTCTCTTTGGTTAGAAAAAAAGATCCACCCAACAAATTACCAAGTCCCATTCATTTGTCATCACACATTAACTGTAGGGAGTCAAACATTCTCCTTAAGGTAATATTTGAACACAAAGAAGTTTCCATACAACTTAGTGAACAGCACAGCTAAAACCTTCTGAGATATGAGCACTTACATTGTTTCATGTATCATTTCTCTATTAAACATATTCAATTAAACATGAAAGAATAAATGAATAAAATGTCAAATCCACTACTGATTAGATTCACCAGAAAATATTTTTTAATTCAGTTTAACATTTATACCACAAGAGATGTGAATTTAGAGTGAAGGTCAGTCTAAAAATGCCATATTGAACATAAGGGAGAGATTTGTTTTAGAGAACGTATCTTATTAACTAAGATAATTGTGGTTATTGAAATTAGTTCATAGAACTAAAAAACTAAGCATTATAAAGTGTAAGCTTGGGGGATTTCCACTGCATTTAATACAGTAAACCTAATTTAGGGAAAGATGTTTAAGAGAAATTTTCAAGAAGTTCACTGAAGCCCTTAAAGTAAGCGTTAATCCGAATATCCCAATTTAATCTAAGTAGCACCCTTTCCTGTACTTGCTTGTGACCTAAGAAGCCTTGGATTGCTACACGTGTTTCATGAACATTGAAGCTTTTAGGTGCCATCTAAAGTAAAGCTGTCCCTGCTCTTTGGGGGAGGTCCATTGACACACTCTTATGCAGCACTCCTCAGATCTTCATTCAGGCTCTCATGAGATTTTACAGTTGGAATCTTGAGTCCTTACTTAGGTACTTAAGAGAAGGTTCCAGGAGTGAGACCATTACTTTCTACTTAACATCTCTTCTTTCAGGATTATGATCAGGTTTAAAAATTTCCCCACTCATTGTTAATTGCAGGTTCATCATCCCAGTGTAATGATGTTGTTGTGAGACACCTTGGAAACCCTTTAAACTGGTCTGTGAATGACGTGATAACATTTCTGAACCGTCTAGACCCTCCATTGGCAGACCAACTCTACCCCACCATCAGAAAACATGTAATGTATTTTAAAATCCAGTTTTCCTGCTACTCTAATGCCATTGAATGACCTGTTCGCACTTTCAATCGGATACGGCGGGGAACCCTATCATCTGATTCAATTTTTGCTCGTGAAAAGGTTGTCTTGTCCATCCTTCTATATTTAAATGGCAGGTTAATCATCTCTTCTTTGCATAGGTATCTAAATACTAAATACCCTCAAGTTTGGTGGTTCTTGATTACAAGTTTTAGACAGACCTCTCTCCTTGCAAAGACAAATACACAAATTATCCCTATACTAGCTTCCTGTTTCACTTCAGGACTTTACCCACAGTGCATACCAAAGTAGCCCTCTTGTTATGATATCCAGAAACTAATTCCAGCTGGTAAGTTCTGTTGTAAGTTGTAATTCTTTTTTCTTTGGTGTCTTAAAATTTTGATTGTAGAGCTCTTTTACTTTTTTAGCTTGGTTTATTCCTAAGTCCCTTTGAAAAATATTGTGAACAAGTTTTTTTTTTCTCTAATTCCTTTCTTGGCAAGATTTTTTTAATTGTTATATAGAAAAGCTACTGCTTCTTTAAAAAAATGAGAATACAGGCTACTTTTATTCTTTTTTTTTTCTGATCTTCAGACAAGCTTTGTTTCTTTTGTTGCTTTTTTCCTCAAGAGATTATTTTTTTTCTTAGTTCAAATTAGAAACAAGCCTGCTTCACATGTCAATCCCTTCTCCCTCTCCCTCCCCTCCCCCAACCTCCCACTAGCCCCCCACCTCATCCCCCCTCTGCTCCCTAGAGAGGGTAAGGCCCTCCATGGGGGTTCCCCAAAGTCTGTCATATCATTCTGGGCAAGGCCTAGGCCCTCCCCCATGTGTCCAGGCTGAGGGAGCATCCCTCCATGTGGGATGGGCTTCCAAAGTCCCTTCTTATACCAGGGATAAATACTGATCCACTGCCAGGGGCCCCATAGAGTGCCCAGGCCTCCTCATTGACATCCACGTTCAGGGGTCTGGATCAGTCCCATGCTGGCCTCCCAGACAGCAGTCTGGTGTCCATGTGCTTCCCCCTTGTTCAGGTCAGCTGTTTCTGTGGGTTTCACCAGCCCGGTCCAGACCTCTTTGCTATTCACTCCTCCCTCTCTGCAACTGGGTTCCAGAGTTCAGTTCAGTGTTTAGCTGTGTCTGCCTCTTCTTCCATCAGTCACTGGATGAGGGCTCTAGGATGGTATATAAGGCAGTCTGCAGTCTCATTATAGGGGAAGGGCATTTAGGGTAGCCTCTCTACCATTGCCTAGATTGTCAGTTGATGTCCACTACTTTGGGTTCTTAGACTCATTTTGTCACCTCTTCCAAGATGATTTCTGAGCCTAGGGTAGCAGGGTGCAGCATGGGGGAATCACTGCATGTGGATGAGCTGTGGGTCTTCGTATTAATCACCATGTCCTGGAAAAAGAAACCTTTCTGTTGAGGGTCAAGAGGTACATGTTTTACATGTTCTTATATACAAAGAAACAACTGCTTATCAAATATAACAGAGTTAATTATTTCAAAATTTTCTCTCTATAGGATGTCGATGGGAAGGCCATGCTGCTGCTCAATACTGATGTAATGATAAAATATATGAAGATAAAGGTGGGAGTAGCCATGAAGTTTGGGAGCTACATTCAAAAGCTTAAAGAAGGAGTAAATTGTGGCTAGTAAAAATGTAGAACTTGAAATGTTCTCATCAATCCCTTCTGAATATACAGTCGACTTCCTATGCTCATTAGTTTTTGTTTTGGAGAAGGTTCTCCTAAAATGTAACTAGAATTGAAAAAGATACATTATAGTCAAAGTCTGAAAAATACATTATAGTCAAAGTCTGCTTTGAGGTACATTTAACATACTAGTTTTTAACATACACATGCAACTTCTTTAGAGGTTTCATTTCATAGATTAAAAATATGCTTCACCAAAAAACAAAAAGGTACCTTTTATTTGGGTTTAACTTTATACATATTTTAAAGCAACTAAAGAGTAAATATAAGGAACTAATAGCATGTAATTTAAGTTATGAAATTTTTTCATAGAAGAGAAATTAAATTAAAGAACATAAAGTTACCCTTCTTGAATATTTTATCTATACAATACTGTAGTATACTTCTTATGTTCTACCAGTTTTTAGAAAAAAAGAATAGCCATGTAATTTATTCCCATCTATTACTACATCTCTGTTATGATTATTCAGAAGGAGAAAATGAAATTTATGAAGAGTTTAATGAGCTCCAGACAACTAATTATACTTACCCTTTTCAGATAACTGATGGTATATGTAGAACGAGATACCATTTCAGACCCAGAAGGAGAAAATGAAGCTTATGAAGTATCTAATGAGCTTCAGAAAACTAAATATTCTAACAGGATTTTAGATAAATTTTAGGTATATAGAATGTTTGTTTTACCTAAGAATTGTACTTCAGGAGTAGTTTGGAATTAAGTTTGACTACAGTATTAAGATACATATTACTCTTTCTTTTATGAGTTGCCTTGGTGACCGTCATGTCTTATTACAGTGATAGAACAGTTACTAAGACATCTAGCATACTTCCTGAATAGGAGGTGTGTAGCAGAGAAAATGGACAGAGAGATGTTGCCATAGAATAGGAGGTGGTAGGTGAAGGTTTTGCTAAAACCTGATTGCTTACGAGTTGAAGACTGTCCAGACTAGCTGACAGCAACATGAGAGTTGGCATTTTGCTATTCTTTTTCTGTGCTGCTTCAGTTACCTTCATATTAGAAAGAAATAAAAGAAAAATGACAGTGTAAAACTAAAAAAAGATACATATTACTAAAAGCCTCCATATTTTTAAAATCAAATTTGGACATTTATCTAAGAATTCATTGTTCAAATGTCTATATGAGGGTACTCATACTCAAAATTTTTAAAAGATACATACTTTTGTTTTATGTGTTTATTACTCCTGAAGGTATTATTTATGTTCCAAAATTACACAGAAGAAAATACTCTATTTTGCATTTAAAATGGTACTTACATTGATACAAAGGGAATGATGAGCTGTTAACAACAAGATGCTTTTATTCTGTGAACTGTGTATGTCCCACTTGTCCCTAGTAGTCCTTCTCAGTTTCGCCTTCAGGGAATCAGAAACAGTGCCATGGCTAGTTTCCACATATGGAAATGTTCTGTCTTGTATCATATTTTCAGGCATTTAGGATGTTCACTTTTGAAAGATACACTAATATGGCATGTTTGGAAGTTTATTTTATAATTTAAAACTTTCAATAGAAACATGGATCATTACTCTTTTGTTACTGCTTATCACATTGTATACCTTTTGAAATAAGATAAACTGAGAATTGGTACTAATAGTATTGACTACTTGTTGAAAATGATAATGAAATATTCACCAGGGGCAAGAATTTGCATTATTTCTTTAGAAAACAAAGAGTACTAGTTACTTTAAACAGGTGGTTTAAAGGATTGCTTCATTTATATTGCTGCTTGTGTGTAAAGACATTCCAACTTTATACTTTACAAATTGTATAAAGACATTCTAACTTTATACTTTACAAATTGTATAAAGATATTATGCACAGTTGAACACCATTCACTTGAATGAATTCAATTTGCTTGAAAAACACTGTGTTCTATATTTTTCAGATTTCAAAATATAATAAAGCCAAATAACTATAAAATAATAGCAATGTCTAAGATTTTTAAATTGAAAATTCATGCAATATATTCTGATTAACCCTCCTCATCTCTTTCAGATCCTCCCAAATCCCACTTACCCACCCCTCCAAATCCATATCTTCTTTCTCTTAGAAAACAACCTAGCAAATAAAAAAGTAAGCAAACCAGGATCAAAAACAACAGCAAAAAAGCACAACACACACACACACACACACACACACACACACACACACACAGAGAGAGAGAGAGAGAGAGAGAGAGAGAGAGAGAGCAAAATTGGAAACTATACTATACAAGCAAAATACCAGTAAGATAAAAATGACCAAACAAAGTAATATTAGGGAAAAGGTCATGGAAACTTCCCTTATGTGTGGTTTATACAATCCAGTGAGACTCCTTTGAAGAAAAATGATTTTCTTTTTGCAAGCATTTGTCAGTTGGAGATCTCTTTTTTGGTTAGGGGCAGAAGATTGTGTCCATTTCCCCTTCTTGGTACTGGGGCCCCATCTGGGAATGAACCTATGCAGGTCTTATGCATGCTGCCATAGTGTTTTGTGTGTGTGTGTGTGTGTGTGTGTGTGTGTGTGTGTGTGTGTCAGTTCTATTGTATCTGAAAGACACTGTTTTCTTGGTGTAATACATTCCCTGTGGCTCTTACAATCTTTCTGCTCCTCTTTCACATAGCTCTCAAGAGAGAAGGCTTTGATGAAGACATCCCATTTAGTACTGAATGTTCCAAAGTCTCATTATGCACATTTTCCAGTTGTGGGTGTCTGTGTTAGTTCCCATCTACTTCAAGAGGAAGCATCTCTGAGGATGGTTGAGTGAGACACTGAACTATGTTTATAGAACACTGTCATTAGGAACTTTTTTTTACTATGATCCTTTAATAGAGCAATAATATTTGATTTTCCCCTAGGCCCATGCATGACCTATCTAGTCTCAGGTTGTGTGCATAGGAGACATTGAGAGGCAGCCTGGTTGTCCATCTCTCAGAGATTCAGAATCTGGTACATGGAAGACAATAGCTCAATCTAGTGATGCCCAGATGGGCGGTCTGGTGTGATTGATGCACCAAAAACTGTCTGAGGGCTGCAGGGAGGAAAATTTCTTGAGTCTGGCAACATGTACCATCCAGTTGGATCTTGTTTCAAATTTCGAGAGTGGGCCATACCCCCTTGTTCTCTGGAGTAGGTGAGTTTGGGGAGTGTGGATCTGGAAAGGCAATGAGCAAGACAGAAAGGGGTTCCCCAGGCATCTCTACTGTTTGTCAGGCCACCTGATCTCCCCTCCAATTTCCTTTAGCTTCAGGTGTGTTGGCTGCTTGGTGCGTCTTGATGGATAACAGCTACCTCCTTGGGGAGCCAGGCCACTTCAAGGAGAGAATTTCCTCTTTTAACAGTGTTTCCTTCAGCAATTAATGGGTCTTTTTCCTTAAAATTAATGGTATGGACATGAACGGTAGCAAAGGCATACTTGTCTGTATAAATATTTATTCATTTCCCCAGCATAGGACCTGAGTGACAGCAATCAACTGTCTTTGGATTGATGTGCCCTGTGCCAAGGCTTGTGTCTATATGGTGACCCATTGGGTAGTTACTGCTACCCCAGCTGTCCAATCTATATCCATAGGTAAGCAGATAACCCTCTGCCTCAAGCAGGGGATTGTCAAGGAATTCTGGGTGACTGGCCTGAAAAATGTCCAGAAAATCTTTACAGTCATGGAGAAGCACCTTAGGTATCAGTGTTACGGGGCTGAAACTGTACAGCAATAAAAGTGAGACAGGACTGATAAGTAACAGACTTGATATTGAGTGATGTGGGCATTTGTCATTCACTGGTCATTTGCCCTTTATAAAAGGGTTTCCACAGCATGGGGAGCCATTAGAGTTAGATCCTGGCTCAGCATGAGCTTGTCAGCTTCCCTTACTAGTATAGTGGTTGTGGCTGTGGTGAACAAACAGGATGACCAATGGGAGGCCATGCTTGGACATATATGCTACAGGTCTCTGCCAAGATTCCAGGGTCTGAGTTAAAATGCTCTTTGCAGTGCCCCATTTTTAAATTTATTATTATTATTATTTTTGGTTTGGTTTTTCGAGACAGGGGTTCACTGTGGTTCTGGAAGCTGTCTTGGACCTAGCTCTTGTAGACCAGGCTGGTCTCAAACTCACAGAGATCCACCTGCCTCTGCCACCTGAGTGCTGGGATTAAAGGCGTGCACCACCAATGCCCAACTTGCAGTGCCCCAAATTTCATGGACGGAAAGATGGAACAGTTTAGTAACATCTGGTAGAGTCAAATCTGGGGCTCTAGTTAGAGCCTGTTTCACTTCTTGGAAAGCTTGTTCCTCTGTTTCAGCCCAATTCAAAGGCTGGTCTTCCACAGTGGGAGAATAAAGAGGCTGGGCTATTTTAACAAACCCAGCGAGCCAGAGCCTTCAATATCCTGTCACCTCCAAGAATTCACATAGCTGTTTCTCGGTTTGCAGACTGGGATCCAGAAGATATCTTCCTTCTGGACAACACTGAGAGTTCTACCTTGACAGATCTTTTATCCCAGAGAAGACCTCTGTCTGGCAAGGCTAAGCCTTTTTTGTGAAGACACAATATCCCAATGTGTAGAGCAAGTGTGGCCAGTAAAATATCATCTACATACTAGAACTTAGTGGAATCAAGGTGTGGCACCCTGAGTTCTGTTCAGTATTTATATGCTTCTCTAAAGGGCAGTGGGGGGATTTTTGAAACCTTGTTTGGGGTACTTATGTCCAGGGTAGCTGACTAGTCTCATTGGATAGTAAATCAGTCCATTCAAAGGCAAATATGGGCTGTCTCACTGGTGCCAAGTGATGAAAAAGAAAGCATTCTTAGTGTCTAGGACAATAAAGAGTGGTACTCCGGCAGAAAGGAGACTGAGCAGAGTGTATATATGAATTTGTAACAGTAGAGTGAATGATTTAAGTCTGCTTATTTATCTCCCAAAGATCAGGGACTTGGCAGTAATCTGAAGTCTTTGGTTTGTAGACAGGCAAGAAAGGCATATTCCAAGCCAACTAGCATGGGACAGGGATGTTAGCTTCCTATAGTCTCTTAATATGAGAGCAATTCCCAGTCTAGTCTTTTGGTTCATGGGATATTGCTAGACCCTTATGTTTGTGACTGCAGCCAAGAGATTTACCACAATTGGTGGGTCACACGTGTGCTACAAAGACTGAGGATTTGCCTCAGACCATACCATAGGAAACAGTCAATGCAAGTCCTGGGGCAGGATCCCTGGTTCTGTGTTTGCTTCCTCGGTAGAATCTGGAAGAGCCAGAAGACATTATTCAGGTAGAGGGGCAATTAAGATAAGTTGGTAGGAAGCTTTAAAGGAAAGTTTGGTTTTTGAGGGGTAAAGGTCATGATGGTATCCTATTTTCAAAGAGGATCTCTGCTTAGAAGGGAAGAAAGGGCAATCTGGAACTACCATGAGGGAGTGAGTCATCTGTGGTCCAGGTGTTCTTTCAGATGTGAGGTGACAGTACTTAGTCATGCCTGTGTCTTCCTGTACTGGCTTCCTATACTGCATTTCCTCTACTGTTCTTTTTATTTGTAACCAGCCCCACTGGAGTTTTAAAAACAGAAACCTCTGCCCCAGTGTCTAATAAAATCTGAGTGTAATGATCTCCTATTGACACAGTAATCAAGGGATCTTGGAGCCTAAGAGGGTAGAGCCTCAGGTCCTTCATTCTGATTCACTATCCAACTCCCTTGTGGTCAGGAGGGTGATTGCTTTCTTGGGCTTGGGATGGCTCAGGCATTCATTCTTTTTAATTTTATTTATTTTAGAAACAATCTTATTTTACATATCAATCCCCCTCCCTCCCATCCTCCCATGCCCCCTACCAACCCCACACAACCCATCCCCCGCCCACTCCCCAAGGATATTGAGGCCCTCCATGGGGGATCATCAAAACTGTCACATCCTTTGGGGAGTGCCTAGGCCCTCTTTAGTATATCTGGGCTGCAATAGTATCTCTCCATAGGGAATGGGCTCCCCAAGTTCATTTGTGCACTAGGGATAAACACTGGCTCCACTGTTAGAGGTCCCATAGACTGCCCAGGTCTCCTAGCTGGTACCCACATTCAGAGGGCTTGGTTTGGTCCAATGCTGGTTCCCTAGATTTATGACTGGGGTCAGTGTGCTCTCCTAGGTCAGGTCAACTGTTTCTGTGGGGTTCTCCAGCACAGTCTTGGCTCCTTTGCTCATCCCTACCCCCTCTCCACAACTGGATTCCAGGAGTATGGCTCAGTGTTTAGCTTTTGGTGCCGGCTTCTTCTTCAATCAGCTACTGGATGAAGGCTCTAGGATTCTTTCAGTGTCCCCTTTCCTTACAATAAGCACATTGATCCCTTTTCAGTGGGGACTTACCCACCCTCCAGTTTTGTTTTGAGGGATCTAGTCTCAGGATAAGCAGTAGGGAGCTTGGGATTAGTTGACTGGAAAACAGCTCAGGTGGCAGTCAAGGCACTTTGTCTCTGTTTTTCAGTATGTCAGTTATTGAAAACTTTTTGAGCTACTTCAATGAGAAGAGAGGTAGTAATTCCAGCAAAAGCCTCTAGCTTTTGAAGGGTTTTTTTTGTGTGTGTGTGTGTGTGTGTGTGTGAGTATCTGGGGCTTGTTGAATGACAAAAGGCAAATTTAGTGCTCTAGTAGTTTCCAGAGCCAATGAGTCAAAAGGTGCAAAGTAAATGCAGAAAGCTTTTTGTGTTGCTGAGGAGTTTTGTGACCCCTGGGAAAAGATAATAGACTCAATCCAGATTATAGTTAGTTAAATTTATTACAGTTGCTAGCAGGAGAGTAATCTCTGAGCCAAACTTGAGAGTACTGTGAGAAAGGGAGTGAGGGGAGGGTTTTTTTGCCATCAGAATATTTTTATTAGTTCAAATTAGGAACAAGCTTGTTTCACATGTCAATCCTTTCTCCCTCTCCCTTTCCCTCCC